TATAAAATCAAGAGAGGATCAGACTAACCACAGGTGATTTCAAATGGTGCTCTGCAGGCCCAGTGGAATTGCATGGAATCCTTCAAGGGCCATAGCAGGTGAAGAAAAGGGACAGAGAACCTGCAGGTCTCTGCTCCCACCCCATCCCCTTCAAACAGGGAAGTTCCACTTTCATCCATTCTACGTATTGGGCTCCTACCTAAGATTTTATTTAAGAGTTCTTTCTTTAAAAATAATTTAGAAATCCTGGTAGATAACCTCTTAGTGCCTTTCTCTGTTAAGCCTAACTTGGGAAATTATCCCAGCTCTCTTCGCTGAAGCCACATAAAACTTGACTGAACTTCCCAACTTAAGTCTCTGAAGCTTAAAGATATTTACATCTTTGCACATATTTTGATTCCAACTTGATCAAATATCTCTCCTTAAATAAATACTTTGAACATAACTAAATACATTTCATTATTTCTAGATCACCTCAGAAACAAAACACTATAAATCTAAAAGATTTAAACATTATCTTTGATTCAAAATCTGAAGAAAATATAGATATTATCAATTATTTGATTTCAAATAAGAGAAAATCATATTTATTCTTCAAATTCTATACACTCTTAATGCACACTGATCTAGAAAAACCCCAATTATTTAGTAATACATAAAAGTACCAGTTTTTTTCTCAGTTCATTCCATAAAATCATCTTAGATCAGAAGTCTCTAAAGCATTGCTGTTATTCTTTGAATTATCTTAAGGGAAAAAAAAAAAAAAAACCTCCTTTTTTTGTTGATTTTATTTTTTTATTTTTTATTTTATTTTATTTTATCAATATACAATGTAGTTGATTTTTGTGTCCCTTTACCAATTTCTCCCTCCCTCCTCCCTGTCACCCCTCCCCCCCATCAGCATCATATCTGCTCACTTGTCTTAACAAGTTCAAGGAATTGTGATTGTTGTGTCTTCTTCCCCACCCCACCCCCCCATTTGTTTGTGTGTTTATTTATTTTTAGCTCCCACAAATAAGTGAGAACATGTGGCATTTCTCTTTCTGTGGGGAAAAGAAACTTCTAATTCCCCACTTTTCTTTTAATTGTAGAAAGCATATGCTTATGCAGATGAAGATGAAGGCCGGCCAGCCAACGACTGCTTGCTCATTTATGACCACGAGGGAGTAGGGTCTCCCGTGGGCTCTATTGGTTGCTGCAGTTGGATTGTGGATGATTTAGATGAAAGCTGCATGGAAACTGTAGATCCAAAATTTAGGACTCTTGCTGAAATCTGCTTAGACACGGAAATTGAACCATTTCCTTCCCACCAGTCCTGTATACCTATCAGCACTGACCTCCCTCTGCTCGGACCTAATTACTTTGTTAACGAATCTTCAGGAATGACTCTCTCAGAGGCTGAATTCCAAGCAGAAATGGCAGCATCTGAACCCATGATCCACGGGGATTTTATAGTGACTGAGACTTACACCACGACTGATCAGTGCGTACAACCCACCACAATTGTTTTTGACCCTCAGCTTGCACCCAATGTTGTAGTGACCGAAACAGTAATGGCACCTGTCTATGATGTTCAAGGGAATATTTGTGTACCTGCTGAGTTAGCCAGCACGCACAATGTAATCTATGCTGAGAGAGTACTTTCCAGTCCTGGGATGCCTGACATGAGCAACAGTAACATGACTGATGGTTGTATGGGGCCCATGATGAGTGGCGGTATTTTGGTAGGGCCAGAAATTCAAGTGACGCAAGTGATGAGTCCAGACATTCACATAAGCCGAACTACATCCCCAATGACATCTCGGCACAGACTAACACGATATAGTAACATACATTACTCCCAACAGTAAGTGCAAATTCCTCAGTATTCTACAGGGAGACCTTGCACCTTGTAATCATCAATACATCCATCAAAGATACATAATGTACTAAATTTAGCATTTTAACAGTCAACAAATACTCAAATATTTTTAATTTCAGTGTCATTCTCTGACTATATCTTTTTGGAGGCAAATATGGCTAAGCACTTTAGGTAAGCCTTTTTTTTTTGGTTCTTTCTCATTTTAAATAACGTGCCCCAAAACTTTAAGAAAATGTATTGTATTCTTTGATACTGTCTAATAAGTAGCATAAAACTCATATAGCAAATCTTAGAGGTCTTGAGGCCTGCAGAACCAGTCTTGTAAACCAAGATGCCCTTGTTTTTAGAGACTGCAAAAGGAACCTTGTCAGCATTCACCAGCCATATTTATCTTTAGAGAAATATTTCTATTAAAATTTTCTAATTAAAAAAGTGAATGAAATGTACATTCCTGAAAGAAAATTGAAAAGGAAAATGGAGTCTCTACTAATAGATATCTGAAGTCATTTATCTCTTCAAATGGTTTCTCAAGATATGCAATATTGAAGGCATGCTTAATATAATACAGGGGAAGACTTCGTCAGTTGAATGCATTGCTGAAAAGGTTTATCAAAAGGAAATATACATACATATATACATATATATGAATTTTTATTGCACTTTATTCATTTACATCATTAACTGTAAATTAATTTAGAATAGAAAAATAAATTATGAAAACCACACAGTAGAAACAGTTCTTAGGGGAAGTATTAGTTTTTCCCCTTTACAGGGAATTTTTTTCCCTACTCTTGCTAATTATATCAGAAAAATATATGAAATATAGTTTAATCAATTTCATTAACCCAAATCATAGAGCTTTCATTTGGCAACCAGATATTCTCCAAAAGCACCTTGGTAATTATTCATATATTCAACAATATTTATATAGAAGCTACTAGGTGTTGAGTACCAATCTTGGCTCTGACAATATATAGATGAAGAAGACAGACATCATTTCTTCCTCCATAGAGCTTCTAATTCATTTCCAGTCTTAAAACTCTGTGATATGGCTTTGAGTTTCTACCAAGAATAATTAACAAAATATTTAAGTTCATTACCAAGTTGTGTTTCTCTTTTTAGTACTACTATTTATGTTGAATGAATGAAATGGAAACACATACACAGATGATTGTTTATTTTTAGTAGGCATAAAGCTGGCTTCGGAAAGAGTTATTCTAGCAAGGTAGTTTTATTTAATTCTGTAAAATATGTAAACTATATAGGTAGCAACTATAATGTAAATGAAATGAACTTATTTTCAGAGCTTATTCCTTTTGATAGGAAATAATTGTAGTACTTCTTGCTTATTTTTTGTTCCCTTATGAATAAAACTATTGTAAGATTTGAGGCATCTCACATAATCTCTTGCCCAGCTCTCTCATGTTATAGACAAGGAATCTAAAAATAGAGCAGTGAAATGACCACAACCAGCTAGCTGTGGTACAAAACCTTGAACCCACTGCTCAGACGGCCTGGACAGTATTTCATTACTGTTAACTTTGTCAGATATGGAGATGATCCAATTTTGCCTGATGCATGGTCTTTGCTAATTCCTAATTGGAAAAAAAAGTTTATCTCACAAAAATAGGTTTTTGAAGTTTAAGTCCAGAATGGCTAAAACATCACATTGCTAGAGGGTTATTTATGTATTTTCTAATATTTTCCAAATTATGTGTGCTGCCAGTTGTCATAGCCGTTCTTTACTTTAGTTACTCACGTTAAAGATTCTGCTACATTTTACTACTCTATAATTTGATAAAAAAATCCATGGGGTAGGCGACAAGATTGGTGCCACAATCAACACTGATTGTGATTTAATGTTCAATCAACAACCAGTCACATAGCATTGATTAAAAGTCACATAGCATAGGTTAAAATTTTAAAAGGAGGTAAAACCACTTGTGAGAATAAATTTTTTTGTTTTCTTCTATCTTTTTGTCAATATGCAAAGATTTAAAGGTGCTTCCAAAAGAGGAGATCTGCCTCTCGTGGATGCCTCTCTCCATACTATCTGTGAAAACAAGATCAGAACCGTTTCGTTTTCTCTCTCAAAATGATCAGTGAAGCGGAGCTTCTTCATTGTGCTAAGATCATCAGTATCATTCACATGCGACTCAAACACCATCTCAAACAAAATAGAAAGCAAAAACCAAGATCTCCCTTTACTGCTTAAGACTCGGGGTACTGATCTGTCTGGGAAGTAAAGATAATATAGTGCTTATGCTAAGATTTGAAAATGAAACCAGAAGCCCAGGGGAAGAGATTTAAAAAATAAATATAATGGCATACAGTTTGAGTCATACTTCCTGCCTTGTGGATTAGGGTACTGATCTGTCTGGGAAGTAAAGATAATATAGTGCTTATGCTAAGATTTGAAAATGAAACCAGAAGCCCAGGGGGAGAGATTTAAAAAATAAATATAATGGCATACAGTTTGAGTCATACTTCCTGCCTTGTGGATTCACTTGAGGGAATGGCATTATTAAATAAATAAATGGGTTCTCTTTAAAAAAAAGTCTTATCAGGTGAAGGGAAGGGAAAACATTAAGGACATAGAGAATATTATAAACATGTTCAAAAAAAGTTATTTTTTAAAAAATTTCCTCTTTTGGACTAGATATTTCTAATTGCCATGTATTACTAAATGTAATAATGTTTTGTATATTTGTTCAATTAAAAAATATGTGATAAGGAAAAAATGTTTCAGTTTATTCTTGGTACATGTAGTATTCCATACATAAACACAGACAGACACATTTTCATAAAAATCTTTTCCCGTTGTGTTACTAGGGGATTATCATCTTTATCGTTATGTCCACAATAGAGGAGTATGGATTCATTTGTAAGTTAAAATTCATAATAATTTATTTATTTATTAATGGTTGAATTTCTCATTAGAAGCATTATTTTATTAGTAATGCTCATTATGAAATAACAAATCAATTAAATAAACTCCAGAAATTGTTCTAGACATTTTAATCATAGAATTAAATACCATCTCTTCCCACTAGATTAAATTCAACAAAATTATTGTTGCTGTTTCTGTACCAGAGGTACCAATTTCCGTAGAAATAAGGAAAGAATAATTAACTTCAGTTAGGGAAATTGAGGAAGGCTCCTTGAAGATGGTGAAATCTGGGCTAGGCCAAGAAGAATTTTGTCTGAGAGGGATTACAGATGCATTAAAGCCAAAAACATGGGATATATCCAAAGACTATTAAGTAGTCAAATTAAATATAATAAAAAATGTCTGAAGCAAAATAGATATTACAAAACTATCATATAATCAGTCATTTTTAAATGGTAGTTACTATACTAATTACTCAAAATATTTTATCCTATTGAATTCTCAAAACAATACCATGAGGAGTGATTTATACCCATGTCATAAATGAAGGCACTGAAACTAAGGGAAATCATCGTTTTTATGTTAGAGCTTCAGTCAACAGCAGAGTTAAAATTCAAACCCAGGACTGTCTAACTCCGAAGACTTAGTCTCATTCAACTCCGAAGACCTATTCATACTCACCAAATTCTATCAATCTAATTCCACAAGGATATGGCAGAGGATCATGAATTCCATTAGGGGGCTGGATTTAACTTGGTAGAAAATGGGGAACCAGTGGAATTTTTTCTGCCATGCATTGGCCAGGTCCTATTTGATGAGATGACACTGGGACAGCCCTCAGGAATCCTCATGAGAGTTGGTGTGCTGTTGATCACCACAACACAGAGACACCCTCAAGGCCGGATCACTGAGACAGAGAACCCAGTATTTGTTTCCTTGGCAGTCAGGATCTTTTGATAAGCCAGCATTCACATCCAGTAGATCCTTTGGGTCACCTCTGAGGTGCAGCAGGTCCATATGGGCTGTCAAAAGTGACTACAATTAATCATTCTTTATATTAGTCAGAGTATTTGCACATGGGATGCCTTCGACCTTTTTTATTTCTTTAAGTGAAGCATATGGACTGTTTGTAGTTCCTAGAACACGCATGCTTTCTCATGCCTCTGTCACTCTGCCCCACCCTTGTTTCTTAATCTGAAACTTCCATTCCCATCATCTGCTTAGCTTTTTCTTACTCACCCCTCAAGGCTCACCTCAAGCATTGCCACTTCTCAGAAGCATTTCTTGATATCTCTTCCACTGCCCCAACCTGCCTGTTTAGCAAGCACTCCCTCTCTATTCCCTTCAGTAATTAACACATTACTTTCATATGCCTGCTAACCTGTGAGCTCCTTGAGAACAGGACCATGCTTTTCTCATTTCTGTATGGCCAGTGTTTGTAGAATATCTAGTACATAGCACACACTCTTCATTTTAAAAGGGAAAAATACAGTCAAATTCTCTCAAGCACCTAAAAGCAAGCGTCTGCAGTTCAAGAGTGTTGCCCTATACAGCAGCCTTTTGAATGATCTTCAAAAAGTTTGTGTAACTGTCACCCTGAGCAAGACAATGCAAGTTTATAACTCAAGACAACAACTACATTTCAAGAGAAGTTGTTCTTATGCCAAAACAGTACTAAAATAAAATTATGGAATTAACTTTACAGGATTTTTGAAAGAAATTATGGTATAGGTAAATAAAATAAATTCCTGAAATGTTACAGAGAAAATAAATCTGGGAAATACAGTTCCTCTAAGACCTTAAAAGTAGGTGATGGTCCATATACTAAAATCAACTCAAAATGGATTAAGGATTTAAATATACACCCCGAAACAATA